GCTTGAAGAGATACCCAGAAATATCAAATGTTTAAGTTCTAGGTAATATCAGAAACTTTGCAATTAAGTTAGTTACAAGTATACAGGGTGTATCACAAAAGTGTGGCGAAGCAAAGTTATACTTTTTTAAATGGAACACCCCGTATATTATTGACCTATCGGATTAGCCTTTCAAACCTGATTCTAAATATACTAGGTTTTTAAGGTTTATTCCTCATAGTCCAGCCTCTGAATTTCCCATTTTAAAGAAATAATATGGATTTTTAATTGAATAATTACCTACCTTTATATTTTGCTGGTGATCTCAATACTTCACCTTTTTCAATAAAAATGCAATTATTTCGCCCCTTTTTTTCTTATTTTCTCCCGGACTATTAGGAATAAACCTAAAAAATCTAGTATGTTTGGAATCAGGCTTGAAAAGCTAATCCAATTGGTCAATAATAAATGGGGGTGTTCCATTTAAAAAAGTTCAACTTTGCTTTGCCACACTTTTGTCACTGTACATATTTGTAACTAACTTCATTGAAAACTTTCTGATATCACCTACAACTTTCACATTTGACATTTCTGGGTATCTCTTCAAACAGGTGAGATAGGCGGTGGATGCAAAATATAGACAATCACCCGGTTCATACAGGAGGGAAACACAATAGATTTTCTATGAAATTAATAGAAGAAGAGCGACGTGATGTTGAAACATCCTTGTATAATGCAGTGTTTCAAGTCAGAATAAAAATACTATACCGCTGCCGGTATTTTTTGCGCGTAGATAGACTATTGCCCATACATTAATCATTATTATACAAGCAAAAAAATAAAAAGACAATTAATAATTTTAGGTCTTTTATCTTTTGAAACGTTTTTTTTGCGGTTTCGATGTGGAACTCACGAGCTCCTTTCGGGGCCGGGCCTGTGTGCTTCGCACACATGGCGCACCGGTAGATACGCCACTGGCTGGCCTGGGATACAGGGAGGACTGTAGGGCTGCGTGCGCTGAGTGGGGGGTATTGACTTTTCCCTCTGTGTATATTCTCGAGAATTTTTTGCATGTCAGAGGTAACCTTGTCAAATATAGAGTTCATGAAGACCTCCATGACTACAGTACCAGACTTAAAGGTAACTTGATATCGTCTTATTGCAAGCTTGAAAAGTGCCAATGCAGTCCTGACTTTATTGGTGTGAAGTTTTTCAATAAGCTTCCACATGAGACCAGAGAACTTCCGTTACAAAAGTTAAAAAAAGCTCTCAAAAGCTTCTCAATACAAAAATCATTTTACAGCGTGGAAGAATTCCTTGGTCTTGATGTCTTAGTATTTTAGTGTTATATGTTATTTTAACTGTTACGGTAGGATATTTTAAATGTAGTATTCTTTAACATTGTTTTCTATTGAGTAGTATTAAGTTCTTTAAAATTAGAAATAACAGGCACTTTGTAGTGTTAGTTATTGTATTATTTACTTGACATATGTAAGTACAATTTGCATAATTTAACATGAATAAAATATAAAAAAAGCAAGACTAGCGATAAAAATCTAGTTGCATATAGCATAGGAAGGCACTGGAAGCACGGGAGAGCCAAACTAAGGTTTGATACAAATACTAATCTGTCACTGAACGTTGACAAAACATAAAAACAAAATATTTTTTCACTAAAATGGGGTTTTCAAACTAACATTCTATGCAAAAGGCTGCGAAGTAGAGTTCGTTCATTCACAGCATATACAAAAACAATCAGCAGGCTAACTCGAGCTTTATATCCTAAAATGGCGGCGTGCGCAGAAGAGATGCGCGTGTGAGTTAACCTGCTGATTGTTTTTGTATATGCTGTGGTTTATCTATTAAGGAATCTAAGACGTGTAGTATGTTTGTGCATGTTTATATTTAAAAAAACAAATAAGTCCAAACGTTTTTTATATTTTTATCAGGATTCTGTGCTCTTTTAAATAAGTTCTTAATGATCGTATAATGTTCAGTAGGAAAGTAAAGTGAAGTGAACTCTCTTCTTTTATGTACCATGTATGTACCTCAATTTTAAATGTATTGTACCCCAATTTTAAATGTACAGACAAACTGACACATTTTTTTCAAAAATTATCATTTTACAATTTTTTTAGATAATCCCTCAGCATGTTTAGTAGGTATATTAGGTAGCTTAGGATTTATAGGTGATGTAGTTACAACTATATTGATATATTTTTTAATGTATTTATATTTAACATTCTTTGACGTGAGTAAAAATTTCTAATTAGTAAACATGGATAAACTATCTCGGCGAAGAAACTGTTGCCCTTTGACTGTTGGCTCATCAAAGGCTAGAGGTAGACACAAATTGTCTGCTTCTCTTGGTGGAGGTAACTTACTCGGAAAAACTTTAGACTGTTAGCAGAACAGAACTAGTCAACAACGTCCGAATCAAACAGAAAATCGAACAATGGGTGCATAATATATTGAAGAAAATACATTTTTGTTTTGTTTTATTTTTCTCACAAATGAAATAATTGTTCTGAAAAAGTGAATGACCTTGAAATTTGCAAAAAAATCGACTGCGGCGCGTTTTTGGAGGGCGCCCCCTCAGCCCCCCGTACCATTAACCCCTCCCCAGACTACTGGTCACGCGTCGCCACTGACAGAAGAGAGCCTCGAATATTGTATATAGAAAATGGAGAAAACTTACCCATATCAACATGGGAAGCAGTAAACGGAACAATAATTTAAAAAAAAATAAGCTTTGAAGAAAAATAACAATTTTGGAGTGAACAGACGATGATCCCGTCAGTATAAAAGATGCATTCTATCAAGCTCACTGTACAATGAAAGTAAAAGAATAAAAGGAAATAATATTGCTGGGAGACGAAACTCTATTGAACGAGCAGGAAGACAAAGCGACAAGGCATTAGGAAAATTTGACACGAATGCAACAAATACCAATGGAGAAAGGCTGATACCAATAAGCAGATAAAATAACCTGAAAATTTTAAATAGATAAATAAAATAAAAAATAAATCTAAACAAAAAAAAAATCGATTGTTGACTAGACTATTGTGAAACAAAAATCGAACATAAAATTCCAGGATATGAGAGCATATAGGATATCAAACACGTGGGAAACACTGAAAAAGACCCATGTTGACTGGAAATTAATAAAGGCAGTTAAGATACTCTACAGTGGTGATAAAACCAAAGTTAAACAGGGTAGCAGCATCAGCAAGGGCTTTAGAGCAACTAAAAGACTTGAACAAACATGCTTCCTTTCTGGTGAAAGGATATATTTGGAACAAGCGCTTAAGGGGTGGGAAAAGATATATGGGGATATCGCTCATTGAATACATTCTAAGTACGAATGGCATACAATAGATGATATTGAAATAAAACTGATTTGATTCGGAAATGTACCGGGTTATTCACTATATTTTGACTCCCCACCTGCTGCAGCCTTTACCTTTACAAGTAGATGTCAGATGATAGGTGTACATACGCAAGTTGTACAATTTTAGCTAATTTTTTAGAATCCATCGTCAGAAACAAAAATGTATTGTCAGAAATTCGAAATTTTCCGTAGTTCTAACTTTTTCCAAATGGAATGTTCTATATTTGATTCTATATTCTTGAAAAGCGCAGTTTTCCGATTCCAAAAATATATAGTTTCTCTATATTAGGTTGATCCGTCTCTAACATACTTGGCTCTAAAAACTTTAAAAATACTAGCAGAGAAACCTAGTGACTCAAATTTTACCTGCAGCTTTCACGTTTACAGGTAGAATGGTGCGCAAAATCTAAGTCAGTAAGATAGTATTTTTACAATGTTGAGAGTCAAATATATTGGAGACGGCTCAACCAAATATAGAGATACTATATATCTATGGAGTCGGAAAATTGTGCTCTTCAAAAATATAGAATCAAATATAGGGCATTCCATTTGGAAAAAGTAAAAAGTACGCAAAATTTCAAATTTATGACAATAAATTTTTGTTTCTGACGATAGATTCTAAAAATTTTGCTAAAACTGCACAACTTTTGTATTTACATTTATCATCTACCTTTGAAGGTGAAGGCTGCAGGTAAGGGGTCAAAATATAGTGAATAACTCGGTACAAATAATGGCAGATACGAGAACACCCAAATCATTGGTCATAAAAAATTACTATACCTAGCTAAAAATATAGAAAACTTAAAATAGAAGCAAATTCTGTGTAGGTACTATGTTTTTGTATTAGGAAGTAAATCGTCTCCGAGCACAGATAGAGAACATTCAAAAGTTATGCAGAACGTTTCTACCTGATCCGATAATACACGTTGAATGTATCTACTTAAACAGCTGGACAACAAATGGATATTCGATTTTTTAAACAAAATTTTGGATCCAAATATCAATAAAGAATCGTATCGATTTGCGATTTTTGAAAATTGATGGCAAATTTTAATGACAATTGAAGGATTTATCAATAAAAATGAACAATTGTATACAGAATAGAATGCAAACCACTATTCAAAGTTAGAATTTTCATTGATACTGCACAGTTTTAAAAATGGTGTGGATTATAATTTAAGTGCGAAGGGTTCAAAAAATATCAGTGTTGTATGATAAACATTCTTTCAATTATTATAACCTTTTTATTGATACCTGATGTGGTCACCAAGTTTCAGATGACAATTAGTGAAACGTTCTAATTTTTTCGAAAAATGTAGATAATATCCACTTCAATTGTGTACCACATCAACTTGTGTATTATCATGGGGCATTCAAACATTGAAGGTAAATTGGAAATAGATTAAATATTCTAGATGTGAACGCTTTTTTTTTTTGCTCGTGAGAGCTTTAGATGTTTTAATCGGCGATACATGTCTTAAATAAATATAAGAATAAAAATATTGTAGGACAACGCCCGACAAAGCATCCGCATTCGCGCCTGTATGTGCTCAAATTTTGCTTTTTATAGTAATTATCTTCTCCAATCGTATCAAATTTTTAATGACGAGAATCTCTGGTAATAACCTACCTTGCCATGTCTCTATATACACTACGGACACACGCGTGTTCAACGTCCGAAAATACAAGTCCGCGATGTTAGCCACTTGTATCGAATCGTGCACCACTTCTATCCGAGTACTACCGTTCCGTTTCTCGAACATTGCCTTGTCGATCACCAAAGCCGTTTCGATATATTTGGTCACTTCTCGAATGTCTCGCTTCATCCGCACCTTAGCACCCTGGTGATTGAGGCGCCACTCCAGCATTCCTGTAGTGGCGCATCCTTTGTTTGCCTTAGTCCGCGCTTCGAAGATCACGTGTGGGTGCTTCTGCTGAAAAAATAAAGTCGTGCAGTTACCAAGATGTCAATATGTCAAGATGTTACCAACAATTAACATTTAAACTAAAAATAGGTGCTAATTTTGATGAATCCAATTTTTACTTTTTTCAATTCACCAACATTTATCAATAGAATAAAAGAACGGGAGAAAAATTTAAATCGCAAAAATACCCTTAATCCATTTATACAGTTTTAATTCCTTTTGTAATCGGGACCATCGAACGAATTTTCAACGCCAATAATTGATGTTTTATGTGGAATATTTTAATTTCGTTCTAATTATTTTGTAAAATTTTTTGTGTTTCTGATAAAAATCTTACAGCATCGCAAAAGGTAAACTGCTTGTACCTAGAGCAGAGCCAATCGGAAAGTTTCTTATATAGATAATTTATCAAATGAACATAACATAAAATTCCTGTATTTATAAAAACCATTTTTCTTCCTTTTGTAAGGTCAACAAATTTTGATCCCCACTGCCTTTTTTAAGCTAATTTTGATTATATTTCAATTATTACTCTGATGATGATAAGCTCCGACTAGATATCGTTTCATTCTTTTTACTTATAATAAAAACAAAAGTTCACTGTTTCAAATTGGAGATTAACAGCTTTAGAATGCGATATCTTATAACCTAATTTTATGATTTTGGTTAAACGTTCTCCACTGGAAAGATGATGTATAATCCTTAGGTAGGTTAGTATTTAAATACATTAAATGTTGGCGGCTACCCACGCAATGGGGTGATCTGTAAACTTCGTTATTTTGGTTCCCTCTCAAATCCTTCGATATGTTTTCCAGATCTGTCGATACCAGTAATTGGTGTTCCATTCCATAGTTAAGATTTTTGGATTTCTGATCTTTTGTAATTTCTAATTTTTGATTTACTGAGAAGACTTAAATTCAGATTTTTGTTCTTTTGTAATTCCAAAAAAAAAGGTTTGCTGAAAAGACTGAAATGAAAAAAAAAAGTAACTATAAGAATTTACGAACCCACGACAAGAAATAATTTTACGAAAAAGCAATCAGTCTTATGCGGTTAAGTGATTAACTAATTATAATTTTAATTATAAAATAAAAATAAAACTTTTTAATTTTCAATTTTTAAATTTTCAAAATAATTTCTTTTAACAATTCAAAGAAATATATATGTCAGATTCTGATGAAGAAATTGAGAATCTCTTGACTCAATTCAATTTAACTCATCTTTACAATTCTAATTCGAGAAGTAACAACCGAAATCAAAGACCAACCGTAACAATGAGTGAAAATTTAAAATCAATTGTTCAACTTATTAAACCTTTCAGTGGCGAAAGCCAATATTTAGAATATTTCATAAGAAACATCAATGAATTCTATCAAACCTACTAAACTGGTGAAAATGCCCAGAAAGAGTATGTGGTTACCGCCATAAAATAAAAAATTAATAAATGACGAGGGAAATTTTCTTATGGCACGTCCTGATTTACAAACATGGACTGATATAAGAGAAGCGTTAAAAATTAAATATGGTGATCATTATTCTAGATAGAATTTGGTACAAGAGCTTATGTATACCACAAAAACTAATAAAGAAACAATTATTGAGTATTTGGATAAACTAAAAGGTTTAATTCAAAGAATTACATCTAAAATCATGTGCGACCCAAATTTAACGGTAGTTGCACATGTAACGATTGAACAAAACGGAATTATTGCTATTCAAAATCTAGTCACTAATTTGCCAACCGAATTAAGAACAATTTTAATGGTTCAAAATCCACAAACGTTGGATGCAGCTAACAAATTTGTGTTAAATTATCAACTAGCTGAAATCCACATGAAATTTAGTAGAGGACTTAATCATTCTACTAATCAAAATAAAAATCAAAATTTTTCAAATTTCGAAAATAAAAATACGCAATTTCGTTCACAATAAACCTATACTCAACAAAAACCTCAATATACACAAAAAACACGCTATATACTAACTACTTGTATGGGTACAAGAAAAACCCATGGAAAAATCAATGTCCCAATTTTACAAGAATATAATATTCAAAACAACATTGAAATGATAATGTACAATTTCCATGACTATTTTGATGGAATTATTGGAATCAAAGCATTACAAGAAAATAATTTAAATATAGATTTTTCTAATATGCTTCTTTCTGATAATAAAACAACAATTCCGTTTCAATATAGAACAGATTTCGATAATCAAAATTTTGAGATTCCAAGCAACTCAATTCAAGTATGTTATTTCAATACAAATATAGTTGATGGCATTGAAATACTTACATCACCGATAAAAAATGAAACGTATAATATTCCTTCGACAATAACCACAGTCATAAACAAGATGGTAGCTTTAGAAGTACACAACTTAATGAATAAGCCTATTATTGTCCCGTATAACATAAACAACTTAGCGGAAATAAATTTACCTTATGCTGATGAACAGTTTGATTAAGTTAATATAGAACAAAAGACTTCATTAGATAATGATGAATATGCAAATGACCCTATAAAGTCGCTACGTATTAATCATTTAAACTCAGAGGAATTTGACGTTTTAAAACACGTAATTAAATCTATTCCTAAAATTTTCCACAAGCCAAATGAAAAATTGGCATTTACCAATCAAGTCAAACATGATATTAAAACAACATACGAAATACCAGTGCACAAGAAAACGTATAGATAACCACATGTGCATAAACAAAAAGTAAATTCTCAAATAAAGAAAATGTTAGAAGATAACATAATCAGACCATCCTGTAGTCCCTGGTCATCCCCTGTGTGGATAGTACCAAAGAAAGAAGATGCCGCAGGCATACAAAAATGGAGAATGGTCGTTGATAATCGAAAGATAAACGAAAAAACTATTGATGCTAGATATCCATTACCTAATATCACTGATATATTAGACCGACTTGGTCGTAGTAATTATTTTACGATACTAGATTTAGCCTCTGGTTTTAATCAAGTCGAGATGCATGAAAATTCGATACCCCCCAAAACAGCATTTATTGTTGAAAATGGTCATCACGAATTTAACAGAATACCCTTTGGATCAAAAAACGCCCCCGCAACATTCCAAAGAGTGATGGATAATGTTTTACTAGGATTACAAAATAGAATATGTCTAGTATACACGGATGGCATAATAATTTTTTCCACTTCACTTCATAAACACGTGAAAAATTTAAAGAAAGTATTTGAGAGACTCGAGAAGTTTAATTTAAAAATACAATTGGACAAATCAGAATTCCTACACAGACAGTCGAATTCTTAGGACACGTAATTACACCAAATGGAATAAAACCGAATCCAAAAAAGATATTGGCAATTAAAAAATTCCCAATATTAAAGACGGCGAAGGAAATAAAATCATTTTTAGGATTAGTAGGTTATTACCGAAAATTTATAAAGAATTTTGCCAAATTGACCAAATAATCCAACATAAGAAATTACTAATTTAGTAAAGGAATACATGCCACCTGGTATCCTTCATTTCCTAAATAAATCTTTAGAACCTATTGTGATACGAGCATTACAAGAATCATTTAATTCGAATTCATTTACTTTGTACATCTCGAACTCTTTATTAGAAGACATCACAGAAGTTGATCTTCAACAAGAGAAAATTCAGCAATATCATGAGACTAAAACCTCTCATAGAGGAATCACTGAAAATGTTGCAGCCTTAAAGAAAAGATTCTATTGGTCCAACATCGAGAAAGACGTACGGAATTATGTCAACCATACAAAATCATATTCAAACCAACACCTACAACGTACGAAACCCTTAGAACATATTTATGTTGACATGTATATAATCAATAACCAGAAATTTCTGATCATTATTGATGGCTTTTCAAAATTTGGTCAAGCCTCTCCTGTAAATACGAAAACAGCTGTAGAGATATCATCACAGTTATTGAAATATTTTAGTGATTATGAAATACCTCAAAAAATCACATCAGATAATGGAGCAGAGTTCAAAAATGCTATAATGACAGATCTTTGTACATTATACAAAATTGAGTTTCATTAAACAACTCCCAGAAATCCGAACTCGAATAGTCCAATCGACAGATTCCATTCGACACTACGTGAAAGTATAACGAGTTTAAAACTCCAAAACCCGAATAAGAGTATTATTGATCTAATGACAATCGCTATATTGAATTATAACAACAGTACTCATAGTACAATGAATCACACCCCTTTTCAAGTGATTAAAGGAGATTTGAATTATGCCATACCATTTGAACAAACAGAAAATAAACTAACAACTGACTATATAAACAGTTTGGTAGAATCCCTCGCAAATTTGAATAAAGAAATTCAAGAAAAATTGTTAGCGAAACAAACAAAGTCTTTAAAATCACGCAATAAAAATCGTGAATCCGAACCATAATTACAAGATCCAATCTTCGTAAAACAATTTAATAGAGACAAGATAAGTCCGCGTTATGATAGCAAAACGCAGAATCGCTTTGCTAAACAAAATGTTAAACGACAATAATTTATTTCAGGTACTCCGAGATGAATGCTTTAGTATTGTTGGAGTCACCCAAGCGTATACATTGATGACGGTAGAAAATCCTATTTTACCAATTTCCTTAGAAACTACTTACGTAACAACTCAACATAACACGGCCTATTATCATATAAACACGACAATTATCATAGAAAGTATCCATAAACTGGAAATTACCTTAATGAAATTATCTGACACTCTAAACAAAACAACATGGTCAAACCAATTTGTTGCACTGTTTCAAACAAATATTGAAAACAGTCATTCTCAAATTAAGATTCGGAAACAAGTCATAAAAACCTATCAAGACCGAAAACGAAATAAAAGAAGTCTATTAAATTTCATGGGCACAGCACAAAAATGGCTCTACGGAACCCTAGATGCTGAAGACGGCGCAAGATATGATTCTTTTATCCAGACACTCAATGATAATCGAAAGACTCTCAATGAAGATCTAAAAACACAAGCTCAAGTATTAAAACAAGTTACAAATTGATTGAAAACAAGATACAAATTATTGATCCCAAGCCCTTTATATTGTATAAAATCTATCCAATTCCTATCCAAGAACTAACCATTAGAAATAAGTACCCTTACCTATTACTTACTAAGGATATTTACTACAATACTTTATGGGAATGCTCGAAAGTCGAAAATGATTATCTTTGTAACCAAGAAGAGCTGAAGCAAGAGGAATCATATGTCTATGACCTGATTACTGACCTACCACAACAATGTTCTTTCACTAAAGTGAAATATGAGAAACCAACAGTGAGAAAACTCCCGAATGGACAACTATTAGTCATCCCTAAGAAAAGTCTGACGATAGTTATTCAATGTGACAAGATCAACCATATGAAAATTATAACCAATCCAACGCTAGTTTCATCTGGAATAAGTTGCGATTTCTCGTTTATATAAAATACATATTAATATTACCACTACTTATTGAAGAATAAATACAAAATGTATTACTCATGCTTATCTATAAGTTTCGTAATAACTTTTTTTCGATCACTATTGTTAAACGAGATATGGACCACCGCGCGCTCAATAACTCACGCTATAGCAACTATATACATATAGTGATTTTGCATGGATTATTGTAAATAAAATATAAATATAAAAAGGATGTTCAGCAGTCTTTTGGTCATCCAAACAAACTTTAACAACCATCATTATTCTGTCCAAGATCCCATAAATTATGGATATAGTTAAATTATGTCCTTACAAAAGTCTTTGTTGTCACTAAAGCATATTTCAAACGGTTTTTAAATATCCGCTAACACTGACCGTTGATGGCCAGTACCTAGCGAACATGCTCGGCAACATATACGCGAACTTGACGGCAATATATTAATGTATGGATAGGTTGGTAAACATACTACTAAGTTGGGAAGTTCGGGAAATACCTAAAAGCCGCAATTCGCGCCTAACTTGTCAATATGTCGCCACTTATTCACTTGTTAACTTAAATTATTACCAATCGTTGAATAACTCTCAGTGACAACAAAAAGCATTGGCAAGGATATATTTATTAATTATCAATATCTCCATGTTTGTGAGCATTTGGAAAAAGACGCCATGCTGGCATTAATAGAAAAATGCCAGTTTATTCTATTACCCACTTCACAGCTGAGAAATTGAATGCCAATTCAATTTGCTTCCAATTTAAAAGCAGTGTGTGGTCTGTCTTACCATACAACAACAAACGTGATGCATTCTTGAACGAGAGAACGCGAGATGTAAGCAAAAATAGTAGCGCAGTTGAAGTGGAGATGGTCTGGCCACATTGTAAGACAGAGCACAGAGAAATGGACGTACAAATTTATATCACGACGAATAAGAGAGAGCAATCAGATATGTTGGAAGACCTCATAATAGATCCAGAAGATTGCTGGAAGAAATTTGATAGAGAGATATAGACTGGCAAAAATGGGAAAATATGGAAGGAGGCCAACATTTCGTAGAGCACGAAAAAAGGCCGATGAAAAGGAGATGTATTCTGTAGTAGATATTTATGTTGTGAGGAAAAAGTAGCCGTAAATGTTTATTAGTGAGTGGACTGTCTTTTGGATATTTATTGCGCGGTTATGTTTTGGAGCGGGATGCCGAGCATGGTCGTGAAATATCCATCTCTCAATAATGTCGTAGATCTAAAATTATATCCGTTGCCTTTCATCATGCCAATCTAGTCATAGAACAACAACTTATGAACATAAAACGAGCACGAATACGGAAAGGTAAAGTGGGTCATTGCCAAAGGAATACATATAATAGAAATTTGACGATGGTATTTTGGTTAAAATAGTGACCGACATTTGCATAATACTGACATTTGAAGCTGATTAAATTCAGTTTCCCAAGAATTTTCATTGCGCTCCACACTGTTTAACTACCACGAGGTTGCGATTCCAAGTTATTATGACGGTCCTTCGGGACTTGACGGCAAAGTGGCTAGAAGTGCAATAGAGAGGCCAATGTAAAAAGCCAAACTGCCAGTTGAGGCAAAGTTCCGGGCGTTGGAACTTCCGCGCGATTTTAACCTCGACCAGCAATGGTGGCTTAACATTAGATTAAACACAACGATGTGTTAGAATTGCTACTGCTGCGAGAGATTTAGTGTTATGGCTTGATTTGTCTTTCTAATGCATTGTTGCTTCTGTGCTACTGCATCGTTTTAAATTGCGGCGGAAGTTAACATTGTCGAAGTAGAAATGATGATAATATTTACTTCAGCTAAATATTGTTTATCCACTTTGGAAAAATAATCTCTTTTATCAATACTTAAGGATCCATTACAGTCCTTCAAGAAAAAAAAACCCAGTTAAAATATTCTGCGTCACGAATACCCAGTAATCCGGGGTACAAAATAAACACGTTCCCATTAAAAACTACGACCTCAATTAAGTCTTAATAGAAGTTTGATTATTCCGGTTGAGAATTCGTCGTGGCGAAAATTTAATTTTAATTTTGGTTCGTGACTAAGCATTAGACGTCATCCTAACTGCTGATAAATCAATGCAGAATTTTTATTATTAATACCATGTAATGTGATTTCAAATTATTTTCCCAATTATAAGAGACTGACTAGAACTGAATACTAGTACATAAAAAGTTTAGAACAATAGGTGGGAAGATCTCACAAAGTATGTAATATTCGTTACAAAGTACCCTTCAAGGCAAATATTAGTAGTTGGGTGACATAATCTGGGAAGATATAATCGCCGGTTTATCTTAAAACAGCCACACCGTGATAATGCGACTGTGAATTCATAGAGGAGAACAAATACCCAAATACTTCGTATTTTTGTATAATTAATTTTTGGAATAAATATGATTCTCTTCTCCGTCTGTATGACTCCAGGCAAGAATTTCTTTGTTTTTTTTTTTCAATTTTACCTTAAAATCCATTGTTTGCATCTTAATGGTTGATTATTGTTTTAATCTTCGAACAATACGACGTGATTATCTTGATATGCTATAGAATATTATTTTTGTTAGTTTATCACAGAAGCACCCGAAAGAATAATAAAAATTACCAATTAAACGAATCGTTCGTGCTCATCGTCCCTTTAAGGCTTATCCGCAATCAATCTGGTAGCAAAGTGGCACTTCGGCACGCATGCTAGGACAATGTTGTTTACTGTTGGCATCCTCAATTCAATTCCGTGCTTGCATGCTAGCACGGAATTGAATTGAAGTGCAAGTTTGCAAGGGTCCAGCTTCTTCGATGCGTGCCGACTTTTGTCATGCGCAGTACGGTGAAAAAATAATTTAGGTTATGTGACCGTACTACACCTACAGCACACTGAAAATTGACAGCATTGAGGATAAGTATCAAGTTCCCAGCACGCGCGCCGAAGTGCCAGTTTGCTACCAGACTGATTGAGGATGGGCCTTGTGACTATCCAGTCATTGTTGAAATCACATATTACGAAAAACACGAATAATTAAAAAACAGTATTGCTTTTTCGAGATGTATGGAATATAAACGGACAATAAACACGATAATTATAGCCGCGTACTCGTTAATGAACTCCAGAATTACAAATTGTCGTCATAATTGGCCTTTCGACGTGTGACATCAGCGCTAACGCCCCATGTTTGGGCCGTGTCTCTAGCATGGCGTTCATTAAAACTTATTTCAATTAATTTTAATTATTCGCGACTCTTTAAATCGCGATGAGCCGCCCCATTGTGTGTCCGTTAATTATTTTTGCGACAGCTTTAAACCGTTTTAATTTGAATTTGGATTTTAAAAACGCGACTCGTGCATGCATATAAATCGTGTGGGTAATTACACTATTTTGGGCTGGATACTGCTTGCATAATTGTTAAACAAATTTATGCGAATAATTACTTTTTAAATGAACTACGTATATTTTCTCACAAATTTATTTTTATATTATCACTATGGTAATATGTGCTCAATAATAATTTCAATTCAATAAGCCAAACTAAACCCAGTACAATATAGCTTAAAAATAGTCTATTAGCTCTCACAGTATCTAATAACAATAACTAGCCGAAGAGAAGATCATCCGTCATACTCGCATAATAGATCTTTCACATTTTAAGTTGCTTTACCTTGATTAAATGCACGGTCAATATCCTTTCCCTAAGCTGGATTAGGTCGCTAATCTCTACCCCCTCCCGATATGACGGGTTGTTTTCGACCATTTTATCCATCCCTGACGAAACCGCAAAATTTTAGGCTTTGTGTGACTTCAACGACAACTAGGATATAAAGTTCAGCTCAGGCGGGGTGGATTACTAGCGTTAGTTTTCCGGGGATGTAACTGACGGGGTTTTGCAACTAAGTAAGGAAGCTTTTAGGATAATTAAATTGTACATTGGACGAAAGAAAAAAAAATTCCCTTTGAAATGAAACTAATCCTACACTAACAAAACCCGGTGCTGTTTATCATTTCATTCTCGGAAAATTCATTTTTTATCGTGTCATATGAATAATTTCCGGTTCCAGATTATAAATAAAATAATATACTGACCGAAAGATCGCCCCCGTAGAAGGGATGAATAACGAAGGTCTCGTTTCCCACATGGATCACACCGCTAACTCCATTGCATGTGTGAAAGGCCGCTGTAGCACCTGGGTAGTCTTGAACTTTGCCGTGGTAGTAACAATGCTCGATGTCCTAGAAAGAAACACAAAAATGTTATACTATAGTCTATAGAATGATAGCATCGCTTATAAAAAACTTTTTGATAAACATTCAAATTTGGAGCCATTTTAATTTTTCAGCAAAATAGAAATGAAATGTCTGGTATATTTTGAGTTGTTTGATAATTTTTTGTCCCCAACTTACTCATCAAATTAAAAGTTACAATTTAGAATAAACCTTAGAATTATCCTAATTTTTATTAGGGGAACTTAATTTGTTGTCTTCACCTGATCCCACTTCTAGAACTCAGGCTATTTCAAGAAAGGAATAATGTCTCTGTAGTAGTTCGAATCTACTCAGGTGAGTCAAGAGTTCGATAAGTTATTATTGAATGTATACCTCCACATCACCTGATGTCAACAGTAGCAAGAAAAAACACCAAAAGAAACGGATGAATCACAGGCGGTGATGCGCTCGGTTATGAAATACCTATGAATATAATTTAGTCAGAACAAAGCATTTCTTGAAGTAGGATCGGCTTGTATTTTTCTAATATTTTTCCAAATTTTCCATGTGTTTTTATAATGCTGCGGCGGGATAGATCCCACTATACCGAGTTTATTTGTTATTTAAGTTAGTGGAACTAAATGTGATTTAGTTTAAAATAGTTTAATGTTTTTTTTTTTTTTTGTTGAAGCAAAACAAAAAGAAGTTTTGTTTTTTTTCAAAGGAATGATTATGCAACTATCTTAAAATAAAGCGTGAGTTAACGTACAAATTCGACGCTCTAATTGTAGCTTAAAGTTATTGCTATTTTTTTTCGTGTACTTATTATTAGTCATATTATTTACTATACTTTTCTATTGTAAGTGTATATCAAAAATGGGTCGATCTAGGTCGCGTTCTCGAAGTTCGAGTTCGAGTACAAGTTCTAGTGACAACAGCTGTAGCCGTTATAGGTCTCGCCGACTAAAAAAAGATAAATCTCGCGTGCAATCCACTATTCACGTGGCAAGTTCAGAACGAGGTTTAGAAAAAATATTAAAAGTTTCACACCCCCTCCACAAGATAAAGTTCAGCGACTTGAATTACTTCGAACGATTAATTGAACATGACACTACCTCGAGGGCAGGTCAGAGTAAGATTTTTGTAAAACCGGAGTGCATACCGGAGTTCAAACCAGGAAATCCTAACCTAAGCTGTGCAAAATGGATAGATGAAATTGAACAGTTGGCAAAAATCAATCGTCGGGATGAACACACTAAGGTTTTTCATATGCAGAGCCGATTAAGTGGCCTAGCTCGAAAGTGGTACGATAACTTAGTCGCGTACGACTTGAACTGGAATGAGTGGAAGAGTTTGCTTTTGAAAATATTTCCCGAACACCAAGATTTTGCTACGTCTCTTAGAAAACTAATGAACAGAAGAAAGTTACCATCCGAAAGCTGGGAAGAATACTATTTTGAGAAAATGGACCTGTGAGATTAGTCCTAAAAATGCAGTTTCCTGCATAATAGATGGAATAAGTGACCCGACCATCCAAGTGGGAGCGGGAGCTGGACGATATGAAACACCCGATGCCCTTTATGCAGAGTTTTTTTCGTCGTTGAATCAAGACAATAACATTCATAGAAACTTTTCAAATCCTGGACCTTCTAGGAAACGCTTTTACCCGTACGATCGGCGTAATTTTGAGGATTTCCCGAAGAAAGCCAAAAGTAACCAGAAACACGAACAGAAGTGCTATAATTGCAAACAGACAAGCCATTTCTCGAATAAATGTCCAAAACCGCGACTTGAGTGTAGACGGTGCAAGAGATTGGGGCACTTAGAAAAAGATTGTCATCGACCTCCAAGGAACCAGGTAGTGGCATTCAGCAACTCTCAACAACGTCACAACGGAGAATATTTCTTTGATTGTGTCATAAATGGAAAGCGAACGAAAGCTAATATTGACACAGGATGTAATGTTGTGCTGATCAGAGAAGAGCAAGCTCGCGAATTCGATATGATAATTTCACCTAGTTCAGTAACGATAACTGGATATGGTGCATCTCTAGTGACTGTGGTTGGTGAGACAAATTTTACCACCGAGATAGACCAAGCAAAAGCTAACGTACAAGCTTTTGTAGTACCAACTAGGGCCCAAGACGTGCCGGTCATGGTTGGTCAACCATTCTTAAGTTCACCTGATGTTATGATGATTGTGGCAAACGTAAAAGTCAGAATACTCCTCTCTTCACACGACGATTTGGGTGAAGTTTTCCAATCGAAGAGAAAAATACCATTATGGGCAAAGGAGGCTGTGGTGGTCCATTCCAGAACTTCGGTGCTCGTAACTGTCACTTCGCGAGGTGCAATAAATGGAGATGTCTACGTTCCTGAAGGCTTAAGAGCAAGGCCCAGTTAAGAGCACTCTATTGGAGAATGTGTTACCCAAGGCGAAGGTGGATACATCTCTATTACGGATATCTCCTTATAAGATATTGAGGTGAGTACAAAAAATATTTTGCTACGTCAGCCAAACGCTTGCTTGATATGGTTAATTCATTTAGATGTTGTTTTGCACAACATACAGAGGAGTTAGGAAAGACCGACGTGCTTACAATGTCCATACATCTCACTGACGATAAGCCAGTGGTTTACAGACCATACCGTCTATCGCATTCAGAACGGGAAGAATTCAAGAAAATCGTTGAAGATTTGCTGGAAAACAAGATAATTCGAGAGTCACAATCGCCGTATTCTAGTCCTATATTGTTGGTGAGGAAAAAAAATGGCGAACAGCGCATGTGCGTGGACTACAGAGCGCTTAAACCAAAAACCGTGGAAGAGAGGTTTCCATTACCACATACGAATGACTTTCTCGAAAAACTTAAGGGTTGCCAGTTTTTCACCAATTTGGACTTGGCGTCAGGTTATCATCAGATAGCTATTGAAGACGAATCAATACCCAAGACAGCTTTCATAACACCTGACGGTCATTATGAGTATACCCGGGTCCCCTTTGACCTATGCAATGCTCCGGCAATATTCCAACGTACCGTCAACAAAGTCTTGGGCAATTTACGCTACGGAAATATTGTTGCCCACATGGATGATCTTTTAATACCTTCTGCAGACTTTGAAGCAGGGCTTCAGTCTAACTTGACATTGAGGCTTTCTAAATGTCAATTCTTTATGCAAAAGGTTGAGTACCTTAGGCATGAAATATGTCGTGATGGAGTCCAACCAGGAATTAGGAAAATAGAGGCCGTTAAAATTATCCAGAGCTCACAGATGGACATTAAGTAAGGCAGTTCTTAGGTTTAGCGGGGTATTTTACAAAAATTTATCAAGGACTTTGCTGCCATAGCAAGACCGTTAACGTTCTTAACGGAAAAGGATGTAAGATTTTGTTGGGAATCAGATCAACGTACAGCATTTGAGACCCTTAAAGAGAAACTCATATCCAGACCTCTTCTCGCAATTTACGATCCTAAGCACAGAACATAAATCCATACGGACGCCTCGAAGTGGGGTATTGGAGGAATTCTGTTACAAGAACACGAAGGCAAACTGAAAACAATTATGTACTATTCGAAATAGACCAGTAAGGAGGAGCAAAGGAACCATTCCTACGAACTGGAAACCATTGCTGTGATACGTTGAAAGATTTTAGAGTGTATTTAATAGAAATCGTAAAATTGTCACTGATTACAACGCTGTTCGTACAACTTTTTGTAAGAGGGATCTAGTTCCACGAATAGGAAAATGGTGGTTGGCAATCCAGGAGTATACCTTCGATATAGAGTATCGCCCTGGTACCAAAATGACCCATGCAGACGCTCTGAGTCGAAATCCATTAGTAGAGAATTGTCAGCTGTCTAACACAGTAAGAGTCAACGAGGTCAACATCAAGAACGGCGATTGGGTGTTACACGCTTAGCTTGGAGATGAAAGATGTAAATATTTAATAGAAGTTCTAAGCAAGAAACCAGCAGACCGGGAAAATAAACGGATTCATGAGGAGTATTGTCTAGAAAATGGTCGGTTATATAGAAAATTATCTGACGGCAAAGAATGGGTAGTGCCTGAGTCTGTACGACGACAAATATTTATATCGTTCATTTGGGACCGTTTGTAAGGTCTAAAAGGAAAAATCAATATTTAATTGTAATAGTAGATTCTTTCACTAAATTTGTGTTTTTGAAAGTTGTAGCATCCACCAAAACGCAACCGCTATCGCCTTTTTTGACAGTATTATCGAAAATTATGGAGTTCCGAGAAGGATAATTACTGATCGTGGGAGTTGTTTTATGAGTGAAATGTTCAAAAAGTTTTGTGAGGACTCAAATATTAAACATGTATCAAATGCAACGCCAACACCTAGAGCGAATGGCCAGGTGGAAAGGTACAACCGAACGATTCTATCCTCTCTCTCAGCATCAACGGATGATGAGGAACGATGGGATTTGAGTATTTCCAAAATACGATGGGGACTCAAGTCTTCGGTGAATTCAGCAACGGGCAAGTCTCCTTACCATTTACTATTTGGATATACTCCAAGAGGCGTTTGTAACGCAATTCTTGACAACGAAGTCATGATGGAGTCGCAACGAGATCAAAACCTGAACGAAACCAGAGCTTAAGTAAAGGCTCAACTTGACGAAAAACAACGTTCCCCAGAGATAAGGTTCGATGCGCATCGTAAGCCTGGAAAATCATTTAATGTTGGGGTTTTAGTACGATCGACTCAGAATACGAACGATGGAAAAAGTAAAAAGCTACTGCCAAGATATACTGGTCCATACGTTATAGCAAAGAAGCTAGGCCATGATCGATACGTACCTAGTTGAAGACCCGAAGGGATCTTCCCGATCACAACGAAAGTATAGTGGCGTAGTTTCCATCGATAAGATGGAAGCTTTCAACGTAGAAGTCAGTTCCGATTCTAACGGCGAATCTGGTTCTGATGACAATCGATAAGCGCTTATTATTACGGTACCTAACGAAGAAGAGCTGAACTCAACAGACGTTGTTGGTTTGCTTTT